TGGACAATACAAGGCTGGAAAAACATCTGTTTTGAATCTCAATTTCTGCTGTTTCACTCAAATGGTAGATTGAGAACTTGTGAAAGCATGGATTCACCCTGCCTTTTATCAGTGGATCAGGCTGCTAGTTGTGGTGTAATGATGTGGGGGTTCTTTTAATGGCACATTTTGGGCCCTTTAGTACCAGCTAAGCCACAGCCTGCCTGAGTATTGTTACCGTCCATCCCTGAACCCGTCAGATGTACAGATGCCTGTACCCATCTTCTGATGACTGCTTCCAGCAAGCGAACGTACCATGTCACACATGTCGCAAAGCTTGAATGTGACAAGAAGGTTAGTATTCAAATTGGCTCAGGAGTCGTCAGATCTAAATCGAACAGAGCACTTTTGGGATGTAATGGATTGAGACAGTCGTATCATAGATGTTAAGTGTACCTGATAAAGTGGCTAGTGAGTATACATAATGTACAGTGCTGTGTTTTAAATGTTTCTGTGGTAACGCAGACAAAGTCATTTTCCCCACAATGTCTTAAAACACAAGAGCATTAGCATTTAGTATTACTTACAGAACCACAGATTCATGTAACACGTTTACATACAATAGTAGGAAATGCACGGGAAATTGTTTAAGACTATATGAACACAGGTTACCATAGATAATATAGAAAATAGTGCATTGTATGCCAATCAATCTAATTCAGATTGATTGGTATTTTAAGATAAAATGATGAGTGACGGCCTCTTTTTAAATGTGCAGTGCTTAATGTTAAATGTGGGAATGTGCAAATTAAACTGTAACGGTAATAAAGATAACTAATTTTCATAAAGATGGGCTTAAAAGTAGTAAGGAGCAATCATCAAACTGCCATCTACTGCCTGTCTTGAAAGCAAGAGAATATAAAATGTAGTTCTGTTGCTGTCTGCATTTATGTGGAGCTTTATGTATTACTGAAAGAATGCACAAAGCAAAGATGGTATGGTGTATGTATAGATATAATCTTTGTACAAGTGCTCCTGGAAACAAATAGACTCATCTGCCATCTGCATTCTTATCCTGCTGCAGAAACCATACTCATAAGAGAAAACATACTTATGCATGGCAGACCAAAGAGTAAATCAGTGCACCATACCTCCCTGCAGCTCCTCTATAGTCACATGGGTTTTGCTTCTTCATTTTTTTTTCTTGCCCTTGCTGATGGTCTCTCCTCTTCCACAACTCCCCATAAACAGGTGTTAGCCTACTTGCCTACTTACACCAGAATGTCAAATACATGGTCAGCAGTGGTGCTGTCTTACTGTTGGCATGTTCTGCTTCACAATGAGAGCTGCCAGCAGAACGTGCAGTTATATTTAGGGATGGGTATTGATAAGATTTTCACGATTCCGATTCCATTTTCGATTCTGTTTAACGATTCGATTCTTTATCGATTTTTTTTTTTTTAAAGGAGAACACTAAGGTCGATTAGCTTAGAACTTTGTTTTATATCTTCTCTTTGAAAAAGATAGAAATTTAGGAGTAACATGGCCTTACAAACCCAGCAGTGAAATCTTAAGAGATCCACAGCCTATGGCTCTTCAATGGGGTGTCACGGGGTCCCCGGGGGAAAAAAATTGTAAATGTAAAATAAATATTCTTCTGTAGCAAAAACAAAGTATAACTTAAATTATTCTGTAGCAACTACACAAGAATATCCAGTAATGTCCCTGCCTACAATTAAACACATTCACTTACCGAAAATCGGGGACATCTGCTGTGGTAAATAGGTGCAAGCCTTTTACCACAAACTCACTGCTCGGTGACATTAGTCTATCCTGGCCTGAAAGGAGACGCTACCAGTAGACTGCAGCGAGAACTGCCAGCATCTGAGCCAGCCAGACTCTGTCTGTCTCTCTCATCATGGTCACCTAAATGCACAGTAATGGCAGGTTTTGTAATAAGGCAGATCGCGCTAACATAATATGCACTGTTAGTTGATTATTTACCTGCCACATTAACGGGAGAGGACGTGCAAACGTTACCGCTGCTGCTGGGTTGAGATTCACGAGTCCGGAGCGGAATTAAAAACACGACATTCATTTAAGGTCATCGCGTGTTTTGTGAGCAAATGATTTTGCATATTCGTAGTGTTTCCTCCCTTAAATGAAATATCTACTTTGCAAGTATTGCAAGTTGCCCTGTTGTCTTCCGTTCTCGTAAAGTATAACCAAACTTTTGAGCGTTTGAGCCGCTTAGGTGCCGTGTTTCCTGCCAGGTAAATGACGCTCCGCAACGCGGTGACGTCATTCGGGGCGACTGGAATGGAGGGAGGGAATCGTTTGCAAAAATGTCAAACAATTCCAAGGAATTGAAACAGTGGGAACTGGTTCTCAACAGTTATAGTTATATTACTCATGTCAAGTCAAAGTCAAGTCCCTGTTGCTTATGCAACATTCTGAAAACAACACGGAAATACGTGAAGCATTTTCCAGACATGCACATTGGGCATAAAACACCTGCTTCCAAAAGTCACAAGGCCACACAACGTGACTAAGCAAAAATAAATAAAATCACACTGAAAAATACAATTATGATAAAGCCAAAAATGTTATAAACATAACGTTTAAGCTATAAACCATTACTGGATGATTCATTGTTACGTCAGTCTATATATTCAAACCACATTATAACTACACAAATTGCCACACTGGAAATTCACAAGGCTGATGAGGACCACAGTTGATGTGACGGTAGAGGAAAGATAGCTTCAGACTTTTGGTGTAGGTGATGTGCCCCCTGCAGCAGCCAATGGGCGTGAGGGGCGGACAGTACCAACTAGAGGAGGGCTCTGGGGGAGTTGTCCGCTTCTAAATAATCCGATTGGGCCGTCTTAAAAAGGGCAAACGCTTCTTTTCTACTTTGAAAACCCGCCTTCTGCCGCGGTACAGAAATAGAAAGGTTTGTCTGAAAGAGCACCTCTATAGAGGGAGAGGAAGGGACACCAGTGAGAAGAAAACTGCTTTATTCCAGTTTCGCGTCCGAGCGATTAGCCAGAGACGTTTATCTTCCGTTTGCTGAGCATCAGCAACGTAAAGGAGGCTATTACCTAGCTAACCAGCCTGGCTGAACACCAAGCCGGGGGGGTCGTAAATAGCCAAGTTTACACAGATACCGAGAAAGCATTTCCCACTTACGCCTCTTTAATTACGTTTATCAGCCCTTAAGTTAGCCTGACACCTTCCAGTCGTTGCATTTTTTTGAGGGAATGGCACTGGACTTCGCTGCTGGATGTGTAGGAGGTGAGTAGCAGCTAGCCACGTTAACAGGTTGACGGTAGCATTAGCATTAGCCACCTTTCTGTTTTTTTCCATCGTCAAAAGCTCAAGCTAATTTGTGCCGTGCCGTGATTTCTCGATTTACACCCAGCTAGTTTATGTGATAACATTGTAAACCCACATGAATGACAGGTTGAATACTAAAACACTGGAGCTGGGTGCTTTTTAACCCCCCCAGCTCAACGTTATGTTGCAGTGCTAACGTGACGTTATTCCCAAATCTGCAGCACCCACGTAGAGATTGCTGTTTATAGTCGACATTCATCATATATCTACGTATCAATTAAACTTGCACACGTCCAGGAAACCCCAGAAATGTGAAATGATCGTGATCTCAGCTTTTCTTTAGTGATTATCGGGCAATTTCCCCCAAATATCTGCATTCCTTTCATCATTCCACTAACCCATTCCAAAGTAGGGAGTTACCATGAGGAGAGGCGGCGGTCCGCAGAAAGTTAAGCTCATGCATTCATCTTTGCCTCACACAAAAGCCCTGTGGGAATTTTGCAAGCTGTTTTGTCAGTGTTCAAGGACAGGACTTCCCAAAGTCTGTTGGATCCCAGGTAGAGTTACTGCACTGTAACTTAGTCTTAGATAACACCTTCATTGAGAGAGTCAGTAGTGCGGTGTAGAATGACTATACTACAGTACTATTAGTACTACTATCTCCCTTGAACGGCTTAACATGTAGCTGATTACAAAATACAAGGGAATGGTACCAGATTTGGACTAACATTAAACTATTTATATAGAATAGTCTGAGAAATTATTTTTTTAAGGGAATAAAAAGTTCAGATATTGCTTTACCAGTGCATTTTAGTTATACATGCAGTATGTAAGTTACTGCAAGAGTAAAATAACGAAGTTGTTTTCTTAACCTTCCCCTAATGGTTTTACATCAGTTTCCCAACCTAGTTGACAACCTTGCATGAACACATGGCAGATTTAAATCACCCCAAGTGTTTTAAGCTGTATGATTTGTTTACAAAGAGGCTTTTTATTTGCATAACATATTTATCTTTAGAAATTCAGTGGTGTTATTTCTGGTGCATTATCCTCATGTTGGTGTGCAGTCTTTGAAAACATCTGATATGAAGACAGTGTTGTATAATGATTTTCTGGCATATTGACACAAGTCAAGGACAGGCCAGTGTTGAGCTTTCGTCAGTGTTAAGCTTTCGTCACTTCGTGCAGTGCAGTGACCAGCTGATGACGGCTCCATCTCATGATGGACAGGTGTCTGTTGCAACTACTGGACCAAAAGCCATCTTCTTTTTCCAAACTCAAGCCATCAGTGCATTTGTACCTTTATAACTCAATTATTATATTGTGGTTCTTTTCTTAAGAGAAGAAGTCCATGGGATATATGATGACCTTGTGTGCACTGAGATTACTTCTGTATGACATGTTTTCCACCCACTGTCTCTGCTCTAACACCACAACTTTTTGCATGCTGTGGTCTGGTGATTATCTCTTGAGTTTTTAATAAGAATAGTTCAGTGAAACAGTCAGTTGTTCATTCCTGTCTTTTTTGTTTTTGTTTTTTAGGTGCTGCTGGTGTTTTGGTTGGGCATCCGTTTGATACTGTAAAGGTGGGTGTCTGCTGCATCCTCTTTGGTGTTTGCTCATTAGTCACAAAAAATAAAACATGCAGTACTTTGCTGACAGCCTTCATTTAAATCCAGATAAGTTGAGAGTACACGATGAGCCCAAGAGAGGAAGGGGATGACTGAGCAAGAAGAATAAATCTTCTGATTAGTTAGAGTTCAGAACAGGACAGTACGTTCACTTCTTTACAGATTTCAATGAAACCGTCATTTATCAAAGGATTTGTAGGGATGGTTAATTAGCTGAATAACTTGTAGTCACATAGCCTATATAATCATCACTATGTACCTGCAGAGTCCCACACGATTTTATATGCATTAAAGTTAGTTGTAATGTTAAGGTTGAAATCAAATTCATTTTTATCACAACTTTTACATGATCTGTGGTTGACGCATAGGATTTATGTGAATGAACCTAAAAACAGTTTTCTTTACTTGATGCCATTCGCATATAAATGTTGCATAGACTGGATTAAGCAGTGGCAAAGTGAGGACGTTTTGACGTGAGACTTGTGTGAATGTGGAGCATCCGCTTTAGAGGCAAGCAGTGAGAGAATGGTTTGGTTATAGTTCTTTTACACCCTTGCTTTCAATGTCATTTCTCCCTGAGCCGGTGTCTGCTTGGGGCTCGGAGGCTGTCTTTAACAGCAACAGTGTCACTGTGTTGTAGATGAGAGAGAGAAATAAACAACCTCTCCACGGAAATGTGACCTAGTAAGTATGGTCCAGGTCTTTCTTTCTCTCACCCACTGTTATGTCTTTGAGATATTAAAATAAAAAGCACCGAAGACATTTTGTTCTTTTTACAGCTTCATACTCGGTTAATGTTTTTCTTATTCTCCCACATGTTGCACCCCCCCTTTATCATCCTTTGTTTTTCTTCCTGTTGACTGCTTGTTTCCCTGAAAACCTGTATTACACAGATCTTGGTTTGTAGTTACTGTGGTCCTCTTTGGCCTTTTTCCAGTTTTTACTCCAATGAGTTCTGTCACCCACAGGTGCGGCTTCAGGTTCAAAATGTGAATAAACCTATGTACCGTGGGACGTTCCACTGCTTCCAATCAATCATACGCCAGGAGTCGGTGAGTTTAAATTTGTTAGCATAGTGCTTGCTTTAAATTAAATAGGTTACATTTAAATATATCCTTGGTGTTAAGCTGGAGTTGTTTATTATCTGGAGAATGTCCTGTGCACTGATTAAAGTGTTTAGTTGCTGTCCCATCTCTCAGTAAAGACATTAGGCAACGTGGGCGAGGTGGGGGGTCTGTTAGCTGGGGTCAATGAGGAGCTTATTCCTGGAGGAGCTAAATAAAGCTTTGGACATCATGCTATTTTTGCTAAGAGGGGGCATGGCCCCTCAGACCTCATGTCTGTTTCTCATGGATGTCCTTTATTCCCCCCCACAGTAATATTCAAACGTAAGGTGGTTTCTCAGCTGTTTATGTACTTGTAAAATAAATGATGAGGATGTATTTGAGAAGTAGCTTTATTGGCAAAAGGAGATTATTAGACGATACGCAACCCATAATTATTTGCTTTAGCCATATTAGTAATCCATTGCTGATAACATCTGGAAAAAAGTGCACTGCTTCCTATAGCCTCCTTACTTTCTTGTTTTTATAGTGTTGATCTGACTCAGTAACATCTGTGTTTGCAGATGCTGGGTCTGTACAAAGGTATTGGCTCTCCAATGATGGGTTTGACCTTCATCAATGCTATAGTTTTTGGTGTCCAGGGAAACACAATGCGCATGCTTGGCCGTGATACACCTCTCAACCAGTTCTTGGCTGGAGCCTCTGCTGGAGCCATCCAGTGTGTCATTTGCTGTCCAATGGAGCTGGCCAAGACACGTATGCAAATGCAAGGAACTGGAGAGAAGAAGTCTAAGAGGAAAATGTACAAGAACTCCTTGGACTGTCTGGTGAGAATCTACAATAAGGAGGGGATCAGAGGGATCAATCGTGGTATGGTTACCACCCTGGTGCGCGAGACGCCGGGTTTTGGCGTGTACTTCCTTGCGTATGATGTGCTGACACGCTCCCTGGGTTGTGAGCCAGAAGACCCCTACATGATCCCCAAGCTGCTGTTTGCTGGTGGCATGTCAGGCATAGCTTCCTGGCTGTCCACCTATCCCGTGGATGTGATCAAGTCACGTCTGCAAGCGGATGGGGTCGGCGGCGTTTACCAGTATAATGGTATCATGGACTGTGTCAGGCAGAGCATACAAAAGGAGGGGTGGAGAGTGTTCACTCGTGGACTTACGTCCACTTTGCTCCGTGCATTCCCAGTGAATGCCACCACATTTGCCACTGTGACTTTGTTCTTAATGTACATGCGCGAGGGTGGAGAGTGTAGCATTCCAGACTCTGAGCCGCCGTCTGTCCAACTGCAGCCTCTGCAAACGCAGACACAGCCGACCAGCATGTAAGCTGGCGTGCAACAGTGAGTGTTGTTAATTTTTAAGCAAACCTATCTGTAGACAGTTTGTACACAGGTCAAGGATCTGTTAATTAGTGTCCACAATCACAGAGGAGAGCTATGTTTTGGGTAAGCATCTGTCCATAAAGCTTAAACCAAGTGGTCTCACATAGTATTTAAATAATATATATTTTAAGAGAAAATCTGCAATTGTAAATATGTTCTCTTTGCTTTTGTACATATTTTGCTTTTTTAAGCAAATTGAAATAAACTTGACAGTTACAAGAGTTACTGTAACATACAGTGACTGTTACAGATGTCCCGAAAATGTTGAACACGTTGATCCTAATGATGCCGTTTTCATCCTATAATATTACACAAGCCTAAACACACAGCACGGCGTTTGGTATATTTGTGAATCGGTGCTGTTTATACTGTTACTTTCTACCATTAGTTAAATGAAGATGATTTTTAGGGTAATTTTTAATAGTCAAAAATTATCCTGTTTAGCATCACGTGAACACTGTTTTGTAGCATCTTGTGTAAACTGTTACAAGCAAATTTTCATGTTCATTAATGCTTCATGTAGCTTGAACTGGATTAGGCAGAAATTTTAAAAGGTAAATAAAATAAAAAGTCACAACGCACTTTTTTTTTTTTTAACCTGAAGATCTCCCCTCTCTGCCCAAAGTCACTAGACAAACATTGGCTTGCACACATGCCTTGAAATGTGCACATAAGACGAGCTGTGATTTCGGGCTCTAGCTACTACGACTACTGAGCCACTGATAATCGCTAACAGAGGGTTAAACTGTCGCTTGTACTGAATGACCATTGCTGTATTGTTCAGCCAAGAAAAATAAAACTAGGTTTAAAGGCCAGTCGCTTTTCTTTCCAGGAAAGAGGGTAAAATTTTAGAAGCGATTGTCTACATTGCTGCTGCGGATCAGACTTGTGACTTCTTAACGTCCCCATATACTACCCAGAAGTAGCCACCGCAATCATGTGTTGGAAGAGTAAAGGGAGGATCAGAACAAAATTCATCAGTCCTCCGCTGGAAACTGGGGGGGAAAGGTGTCTTGATTGTCTTGACGTTTTTCATTTCAGTCAGACTTTTCACCATCATAATCTCAGCACTGAAAAGATGCAATTAGCTAAAGTCTCTGATGCTAGATTTTGTTTTGTTTTTTTGGCAGAAAATTCAAATTTTTGAACAATGGAGTGTTGAACCTTCTGGTGAAATTTAAAAAAAAAAAAAATACTGATTTGGCTGTATGATACACTTGGCTTAAAAAAAACAAACAAACTTTAACCCTTTAAAGCCCTATGATGCCAAAAAAATTCTGCCTACACCAGCTTTACCTCCCTCGTAGCTGAGTTAATTCTGGCTGCTGTATAAAGTTTCAAGTTTGCAGTTACCACAAACTTTTTATACCACTTCTTAGACTGTATATCTGTACAGAGAGAAAGTTTGTAATGAAAAATATTGGAGGCTCTGATGGTGGTCTGTTGCAGTACGACATAATTTTTGATGGTCAGAAAAAATAACAGTGTTTGAGGCGGTCATTGTAAAACCAAATCAGATGCAATGTAATCATGTTGTGGACACTGTAGTGTGTCCAAAGAAAGCACCTTACGGTATGACATTAAGCATGTGTATGGTTAAAAATACATTTTGGCAATCACAATTCCTCCCAATGGATTTTACAATTTTACAAAGGGAAGATTCTCTTGCAGTTTGCCAAGACCAGTCAAGTACACTAATTTCTGCCACCTAGAGGCAGAGAAGGTAATGGCTCCTGTATTTTTAACCTTTGTATATTAACTTAAAGTCTGTTTTTTCTGCATAGTTAACAATTGACATTCTTCAGCATTAAAATGAGCATTATACCCAGCCAGCCTGCAGCAAGTGCATTCACGAACACCTCTATATTAGGGGCAGGGATAGCTCAGTAGGTAAAGTGGTCGCCCCATGATCGGAAGGTCGGCGGTTCGAATCCACTTAACGGCTACCCTGAGGTACCCCTGAGCAAGGTACCGTCCCTACACACTGCTCCCCGGGCGCCTGCTTAGTGGGCTGCCCACTGCTTCACTGAGTGAATGGGTCAAATGCAGAGAAAAACAAGTAATTTCCCCATGGGGATCAATAAAGTATCCATTATTATTATTATTATATTAAATATTCACAAGAAAGGTGTCCTAAATACAGAAGCCATTACTTTCCCTTAATGTAAATGATCTACATCTTCACAGCTCACTGACCTCCAGGTGTAGCTTAGCCCGCAGTGCCGGCTTAGATGTGGAGGTCTTGAAAACTGCTTTGGATTTGTCCAAAGAGAATGTATATATTGAATGTGGCAGTTTTCTTTGTCTTTTTCTTGTTTTGTTTTGGCTTTGTGAGAACTCTAGACTTCAGATTTTACTTTAATGCATTCATGTGTTGTTACCGCTTTTTGCCTGTGGGTTTATCTTTATTGGCAAGTAATTCCTGATATCTCTGTAAAAGAAAATGCTGCTGTAAATATCTGATGTTGCTATTGTTTGTACTGTTAACAACTTGTACAATACCTTTCACCAAAGTAGAACATGTCATTTAAAACCCCAAAGGAGAACAGTGAAATAAAACACTTTACTTTTTTCTTTTTCTTTTTTTTTTTTTGGCTGGGCATTTTTAAGTTTGAACATTTGGAAACCCTACAAATTATTAGGCTTCTAGCAAACCCCCCAAAATAAAGTTTTAAGTGAATGAAAGAATGAGCTGTCTCAATTCAGTTAAAAAAAAAAAGTGATGTAATAAACATCACATTTTTTTTGCTTTCGTGGTCTGTTAGAAAGAAACGGGCTGACCTCTAGAGGAAGTAAGCTGATATCAAAGAAGCTCAATGTGGGTATTGGAAAAGATTTCCTTCTCAAAATGTGGCACAAAACTACTTTAATAAACACATAAAATATAGTTTATTAAAGAAAACAAACATCCATTATTATGTTATTCAAGTTTCAATTATTGAATTCTTACCAATGCTGCTTAATACTACCTTACAGGTCAACTGTACACTTTGAAGAAACCCAATGTGTTCTTTAACATAAATATAAAGTTGAGTGTTGTGCTCATTCAACTTGATGTGCAAAAAGGATGAACCTAGATCCTGAAGCTCTTCTCTCATTGAGAGATCATATTAAATGCAGTCAACGTATTATTCTAACTGCTGTCTTCCTGAGACAAAGACAGAAAGAAGCAGAAGAATGTATGAAGTGAAAAAAATACACATAAGAATAAATGAAAAAAAAAAAGATGTATTTCAGTTTATAGAGTCCCAGCAGTGTTTTTTCCAGCAGCATGCTAGCTGTTCTTTCTTGATTTTGACATATTCATGAGGAAGGAGTCACAGGAGTAGCGCAGGAACCGATAGATCTCCTCTGCTTTGGGTCGACTCATACACCCTCCCTTCTGTATGGCTTCTATCGGGCTGCAGGGAGGAAGCAGGTAAAGAAGAGATGACGTACTGAAGAAGAAGAAAGTATTCATAATTCGATACAACACAACGTCCATCACCTGTTTATTAGCTGGGCGATCGATGTGAAGTTGTGGCTCATGTTGAGAGCTTGAACATAGTTAACTGAAGGCAAGCTCAAGTACAGCTGCAGTGCTTGCTGCCTATGCTGCCCTTTGACTTCCACTGGTATGCCGATGCCGTGACCCTTGCGGTGCTCCAGACGTGCCACATCTGCCAGCAGCCCGGCACTCTCTTCAGCACCGTCGCTCCAGAGCGGGCGGACCCCTAATCGCACTAGCGCCGCCAAAGTGTTGTCAAAGTAGCGAGTTCGCTGAAAGGGACGAGATGCCTCACCTGGGACAGTGACAGTTAACATAAAGATCAGAAAGACATTGTCTCATGCAGCAATCATTCAGTCTAATCCTCTGTTAATTCAGTGAATTTGTGGAAAACGCTGCTAAATTCTGTCCATTTAAACCAAATGCACTCCCAATTTGGCAACCTATTTGATGTGTGCCATGCAGATGCTGTTTCAACCCTCCAGCATGCCTACATCCACTCATAGGCTCCAGTGAATATTCTTATTTACAATTACAAAGAAAATGAGCCATACTTTGAAAACGTACCGGTCTTGGTTCGGTCTTTTTCCACTATGATGCACACGCGCTCAAACAACCCCTGCAAGCTGTTCACTCTTTCCGCCAGTCGCTTCCGGTTCTGTGCTGCAGCCAGATCTGATTGGCTCTGCCTTTCCACCGCCATGCGGTTGCTGACAATGAAGTAGCTGCTGTCCAAAGAGCAGACGTGGACGGTGGCTGCGTGTCGCTGACGCAGGCTGGTCAGCAACTCCACCCCGCTACTGATGCAGCGACTGTCCACCAGGATGCAAACAGACCCAGATGGAGCGGAGGTTTCACTCACTATCAAATTCTCAGCTGTGATCTTTTGAGGAGCCAATGGAGTGGCTGGGACTGCCTGTGGAAATGAAAGGAAAAACACCTTATACTTGATTTAAACCTGTGGTGATAACAGGTTAAATAACTCAATATAATATGCTCCTTGGTCCCAGAAAAAAAACCAGTTACACAATTTTTTTTTTTTTATGTTTATCTTCTGTCTCTCATAGTAGACATGGAGTCTTGTTTGATAACAGAAAATATGATGTAATGTAGTGATATTGTTTCTATTTTTGTGTGGATTTTTGGTATTAATATTACCAGAAACAGTTAGGAATGTGTACGTCTCTTCTTGTCTGCTCATACCTGCGATTGCTTCTTTGAGGAAACTTGCAGGTGTGACTCCACAAAGTCTAGCTCGTCAGAGAGGAGATGCTGATTTTCTATCCTCTGGCGACACCTTCAGGAGAGAGAAAGAAAGACAATCTCAGAATTGTTACTAAGTACACTCTCATCCTTCCATTCTCTTCTGCTTATACAAATTCACATCCATGAGGAGGATGGCACTCACTCTTTATTACTTTATTATAACTTCACCTCTCATTTTGCTGTTCTTCACTCACAGAGCTCCTTTGTGCTTTGCTCAACAGTGAGACCTTAGAAGATAACGACACAGCTTTCGTTCCTTCTTTCCCACAAGGCTCTGGTGGTACCATCTTTGGCAATGAAGGCAACACACCATCTCCTGCTTTGAGAGCCCTCTCTTTACTTGCTTCATCTATCTCCTCCTCACTGGAATCATTCATTTGTATGACCCGGGTGCGTTTAGTTTTCATCTCGGCTCTCTGTTCTGGTGGAGGCTGAGCTCTGGTTTTTGTGCTGCCTCTTGCTCTGGCGTTGTGCAGGAAAACGCGGCGCCTGGTGGGATACTGCTTTCTCCCGTTCACAAACGAGTCCTCGGGCAGAAGGTCAACATTTTCAGCATCTTCCTCACTGGTGCCCACCAACTCCACATCACTGCCCACTACAAAGCTGTCCTCTTCATACGTCTCATCCATCTCAGGCACCTGTTTCCACACATTAAGAATGTGGCATCCTTAATTAGACTACCAATCATCAAATCCACTTAGTATTTTGTTGCTTTGTGTATCTTTTAAAATGTATTTATTTGTTAGTATACCTGGGAAAAGATGTCCATGTTGTGGTGTCTTCTGTTGGAAATTTTGAATTTGCCCTGGACTGCAGGGCTTCTCACTGACTTCAGGTACACTCCATGCATCTCTGAGTCTGACAAAGAGGAGAACAGACAGAGAGCCAAAATGCATGACTCACTCAGCCTCCTATCACACTGAGAAGCTCAGAAGGAGAGAATAAAAGAAAAATGTGTTGTACCATTCAGGCCCTGAGAGAATTGTGTATTGTCGACCACAAAACCGTTGAGAGACTGATTCTGTTCTTCTCCATCCTCCT